CTGCTTCTGAACTCTTCTCTTCCTGCTAGATACTTTGTTTTGTGGAGTGACCAGAATTTATTACACTATTCCAGGAAGGGAGTATAATATATTTATAAAATTATAGAAAATACAATTATTCTTTATAATACCATATACTATATCATTATATGATATTCAATTATATATAATTATATATATTTCTATATATATATAAGTATATAACTATATTCTATACAATTATAGTTGCACTTTTATTCTCCAGCCTATTCCTTATCCTTCTTAATATTTTGTTTGGGGTTTTTTTAAATCCATCTCTGTCCCCGAACCAGAAATGTTATTAAGCTGCCTGTAGTGATACCTTAGTGTCTTCCCTTAATGGTTGCTGTTATTTGGCATCCAGTAAGGTGCATTAGTGACATTCTTTCCTTTCAGTGTGCTTAATCCTCCCCGTCAACACTGACTATTATCTTCACTTTTTGTGCTGCCTACTCATGCAGTTTGGTTAGGTCTCTCAGAAGTTATTCACAGTCTGTTCTCATTTTAGCTGCATGAAACATTGCCATGCCATCTGCAGATTTTTTTCATTTCCCTGCATGGAGTCCTAATAAATATGTTAAATAACACTCTCCTGGAATAGAAACTGATAGCATCTCACTGTTTACCACTGGGCCATGTCAAAAATTAACTCTTTATTCCTCCTGATTATTTTGTCTCTTTGTTTATTTTTAATCTCATCTCAGTCATAGCTATTTTTAACTTACCTGTGCATATTATTTAAGACTCAGTGGGCATGTCTACATGTGCATTAATGCACCATTACTACTGCACATTAAGTTTAGTATGGCTAAGATGAGGCACTACATAAATGCACAGGAGTCAGCAGTAATGCACAGTAGCAATTGTGCAGTCTTTTTGTGACACAATGCACAGTAGACTAATTCTACTGTGCATTAGCATGTTAGCATGGATTTTGCTGTGACACACTAATGCACAGTAGAATTAGTCTACTGCACATTAAGTGTCTCTTGCAGATGTGCCCAGTAGAGGCCTCTTGTTCTGTGTTTTCTATTACCAGTCATTCCAAAATGTTGAAAAATTGCTTTTTCTTAATGAAGACCCCAATGTCCAAGTGCTCTTAGTAAGATTTTCAGAATTAACTTTGATTACTGGTAATTCCAATAGAAGTTAGGTACCCCAATCTAGCTCAGAGTGACATTCAACCACTGTATATGTGGTAATAAAATGACATGGACACACATAAAACATGGTTTAAAACTGAAGTGGACAGGCATAGGAGCCTGTTAAACTGGTTAAACACAGTGTTATGTGTGGAAACCAAGTGTTGTGTGACATGAGTTTGGTTGGTTTTCCAGGCATCCCCCACTGCATTACTCATCATCCCCCACACACATGACTGCTATAACTGACCACTTTGGTATGTAGCTGAAACTACCTCCCCCTTTTTTCTTTTGTTTGTACTTTTTATCAGTGATCTATTGATGAGCTATCTTTCTTACAATCAGCTGTGTGCTTACTGCCTACTTGACTGCAGCACTTCATAATGACTTCCCCAGCCACTGGGAAAAAAGTGTGGGTCTAAGCACTGTCCCTCCAGAGTCAGGCAAGTATGCCATAGACTTTAGCTATTTGCAGGTTTTTCAAGCTTGTTGAATTCATATTTAGTAAAGAAGTGAAAGCAGAAAAGTGAATAATGCCCCCAACCCCAGGTCACCCACCCCCTTGAAATCCCCACAACATGGGTGAGAGCACACAGGCACCTCACTCACATATTCCAAGGCATGCTGGGTTAGTGGCTCATGACCACCCTCTGGTGTTGGAGCCACAGCATGTCACACAGTTGGTTTCTAATCAGTGACATTTTGGAATGGTTCAACTGTTATGTGTGTCCACACCCAAAATCTTGCTGTGTTACTCTTGGGAGGATTTTGTTTTCATTTTAATCTCCTTTATCTTTGCATATTTAGTAGATTATTAATCTGTAAATTGGTAACATAACTCTACTAGTATATTTGTATCCTCATTGGCAACACGTAGGGCGTGCATGTGGATGTACGTGCACCCCCTGAGCGTAGCAGTGCACCCCCTATGAGAAGGTGCTGTTGACACTGCCGGTGGCACCTGCAGGTGGTTGCCACTCGCCACCCCCGCCCTTGCCACCAACACCAGCAGTGGCATCTGTGGAAGGTCCGTGTTCGCCGCTGACGCTGCCAGCAGCATCTATAGGTGTTTGCCAACCACTGGTTGGTGCTTACTGCCCCCCCTGCCGACAACGCTGCTGTCACCTGCCGGAGCTTGCCATGCCCCCCTCACCTCCGGGGGTATGCAGCATTCATGTGTATCCTTATAATATGGGATTTGAATTTATAGATTTTGCTTTGTGATTCTGTATTCAAAACATACCCTACTAAATTCCTTGGTAACTTTCAGACACAGTGGCCGTGTTTACATGAGATACTGACTGTACAGTTGTTACTGTACAGTCATTTAGTACTTGTATATACTAGTACTGTATATACAAGTACTAAATGACTGCATAGTAACCAGAGTTACTGTGCAGTAGCATCGCTGAAAGCTTTTAGGTGATGACTGTGCAGTAGCTTGTTACTACAAAGCAGTGGCATCACATCACACTTTGTGCCACGCAACGCTGCTGCACAGTAATAACAAGCTACTGCCCAGTCAGCATCTCATGTAGATGCAGTCAGTGGGTGCATCTACATACGCACTTTACTGAGGAGCTACTTTGCTCTGCAGTAAAACGTCACTTTCTACACATGCACCCATATTAAGGCACAGTAAATTAACTGACTACTGTCGCAAGTAAATTAGCTTGTGCACCCGTATTAAGGCACAGTAAATTAATTAACTACTGTCAGGAACAGTATTATCTTACAGCAAACTCATTTACTGCACCACAATGCATATATTGACAGTGACCTCGACTGCAGCAGTTTGAACCAGGGCAGAACAGGCTGGCAGCAGGATCTGGTGGGGTGGGAAGGTCTGCAGTTTGTGTACTCTTATGCCCCAGCCAGACCTTTCACTGCCCAATACCGCCACTCAGAACCTGGGACTGACCCTCTGAGCCTGCTGCTAGTCCAGGGCTGCTCTGCCCCAGCTTAAACTGCTGCAGTCCCAGACACATGTGAAGATGGTGCACCTGGGAACAGCTCACTCCAGCATGAACTGCATCAGAATTTATTCAGGCACACTATTTGTGCATGTAGATGCACCCAGTCATACTCCACTGCCTCTGTGAGCTAATTTTTCTTTTCTGTGAATTTTATAATCAGCAGGCACATCTACACAAGACACTTTACTGCTCAGTAGACTAATTTGCTGCACGCTAAAGCATCACCATCTACACATGCATGGCAATTAGGACACAGTAGACTAATTTACTGTACTGCCAGATAGTCCCATCAGATACAAGTGGTATCTGGCAGCACAGTAAATTACTGCACTTGAATGCATGTGTAGACTGTAACATTGGGATTAGTTTATATAATATATAGTATATTCAGTCATATTAATTGCACATGTATATGCACCCAGTTAGTAACATGTCCCACTGATTTTTATCTACCAACATGTTCCAGAAATGCTAATTATGTCACCATTCTTTGTTACTAGATATTCTAGCTCATCTGTTTTAGTTTCTGAGTTTCTTGAATCAATGCTTCAGCATTTTAGTTTAGCAAACTGCATGGACTAGTAGAAGAGACATTTAAATAACTGAAGGTAGAACTGTTATTTAGGTCTGAAAATGTTCTGAATAACAATGGGAATCAGGAGTAAGTGGAATATGATTTATATTTCCTATTGCTGCAACAAAATTACACGTGTGTATTTTGCTGTTGCCATCCTATTATCTTATTACACCTGTTCTATTTGGTGTCATTTCCTTTTGATTAATTAAGAATCTGGCACTTTGGAGACACTTCCAGCAGAATTCTACTTCTAATAAAGTAGATTCTAATTCTGCTTTATGTGCCAGTACCTAAATGGCAGCTTTTTAGCTGTGTAGGTGGTGTTTTTGGCATTTACATACAGGTAACAATTCACCTTCTCCTGAAGTATAACCCAATGTTAATCAGTAGTGTAACAGGGCACCCATCCCAGGCACAGGGGTACCATGATCCATACCCCTTCCCTTGGGAGTCTTTGCACTGCTCCTGCCCAGCCACAGGAGCTGCACAGTGCATCACAGCACAGTGCAATGCTGCACCAAGGATTATGTATGCTTTGCTGGGCATCCCTTAGCCCAGAGTTAGTTAGTGCTTGGCAAATGAGATGCAACTTAACATGCTGGCTCAGAAATGTAACTAGGACAGGGTAATCAGGGCACCAACCCCCAGCACTGATTAGGAGGGGTCACCATAATTACACCCTGGGAGTCTTTGCCACAGCAGAGGCAGGCCAGCACTGCCCTACCTGGCCAGAGGAGCCAGGCAGGGCATTGCCACACAAGCAGTGTATCTGATAGGAAGGGATGAGTGGAGTGAGTGGAACGGTGCTCCTCTCACCCTCCCTCAGGAGCCTTTGCCAGTGCATCAGTGCACCCTATATGTGTGCATTGGGGTATGTGTGCATGGGGGGCCTTGGAGGGAGCAAACGGGGCACCTGGGTCAGTTCCCAGGGAGTCCAGTCACAGGGCTGCTGCCACCTGGGCTGAGCTGATGAGCTGTTGCAGCAGCTGCAGCAGCAGCAGTAGCTCAGGAAAATAAGCATTCCCTTCTCCTCACTCACGTGCCCCTCTTCCCCAGTCTACAGTGGTCAGCATATCCTCCCCCTCAGACACACACACTTTTGCCCCTCCCTCACCCTGGGCACTCAGTGAGATCACTGTGCCCTCTGGGCTGGTTCAGAAAAGAGGCAGTTCCTCTTCCTTCCCAAGAAAACATGAAACATTCAAATTGTTGTGAAGAAAGATCCAGCATTGTATAATTTGCTAACTGGGGCTGGGGTTTAATAAGCTCTGTGTTTCTGTCCTGCAGACTGAAGATTATTTAAAGCACAAGATCAGAAGCAGGCCTCAGCGAACAGACCTGGTTAATATGCACATTTTACAAGGTACAGTTGTATATACCACTGGCACACAGCTGTAGATTTCTCCAACCCTTCTTGTCTTCAGTGGCTTTGGGTTCTTCTTCCCTTTTCTGGTTGTTTGCAAGGTAAACATTTAAAGTAATTTTTCCACTGAAGATTCATAGATTCATAGATTCATAGATTCATAGATTAAGGGTCGGAAGGGACCTAGTAGATCTTCTAGCCCGACCCCCCGCCAGGGCGGGAGAACAACAAAAAACCCCAAAAAGAGAAA